GATAGCTTTCAGAGTTAAAGTAAGGGTTATATAGTCATGTAAAAGCCAAGTAAGGGTTACCCAGTTATGTGAATGTTGAGGCTAGTCATGTCAAAGTCGAGGATGGTCTTTCTAATAAGACAAGACTTATCAGTTATTTGCAAGTATTGTCCAGTGCCTCGATTCTCAAATTCAGAAAATTTGAGAAATCGCAGGAAAGATTAGTTCATAATAGACTTTTCTTGAGGTTAAATTTGGCCTCAGGGAAGGTAAACAGTTGCAGGTACAACATGTTGATATACGACACGACGGAGAAGATCAATCAACAGCAACAGACAACGCCGTGATGACGAACCGACGCTTTCCATTCAAGGACTCATGTTGCAAGTAGAGAACGATGCCATGCCTAAGTCACAGTACACTGAGAGATCACGGAGAATTAGCATTATAGTTGTAACACCCCGAGTTTTATTAATAAAGGAAAATACTAGCTTTCGAGTAAAAGCTAGCCTTTGTTAATAAATATTCACATTAATGTCAAGTCTAAGCTATTCAGCCAGTTAAATTCCAAGTTCGACGTTAAGTCGAAAAGTATATTTCCGGTTAATTTTATTTATTAACCGAGTCAATAATAGTAATTAATCTCGTTCCGTTTATTTTAATAAATGGACGTCAGCAAGTGGGGATTAATTATTTCAATATAGATGTATTAATCGAATTGAGAATATTCCATTAATCGTTAAAGTTGAGTTCAAGCCAATTATTCAGTTTCAGTTAAAGTTCGACTTTTAGTCGATAAGATATTCAGTTTAATTATTTCAGTAACCGAATAAATTTTAAAAATAATTCCAATTCGTTTTAATATATGAGTTTGGAACTAATAAGGTTAAATTGAGGTTATTCGAATTAAGTTTCGAATATCTAGTTTATGTTCGGAATAAGTTCCGATAATTAATTCATGTCTAATCGCTCGATAAATATTTTACCGAGCTTAATCATGTTAATTAAGGTATTAATTGCCTTGTATTATCAAGAAATCATGTTAATTATCAGTTAACTAAATTCGTGTACAAATTGTGCATGGCTAAGCACACCCAACGTGAGGCACAGACACATTTAATTAGCACCAAGTGTGATTTGTTAACTTAAGGTCATGCTAAGTCATATGTAAGTGAGGAGAGTTGCTCCTTTTTCACTATTCACGTGAGACTTCATCATATCAAAGTACATGTGGAGGCCTAAGGCTTATTTTAGGGCATGACTAAGCAAAATATTGCACACCTAAAGCTTTAAGTTTATGGCAAGTGGAGTAAGATCATTGGCCATAAAATTTCCTCCTCATTTTTCCTCTTAAGTTACTTCCCTTCGTCCAACTATATATACCAATTGTTTGGTATTTTACTGTACGCTTAAACCAAGTATTAAGCAAGAACTGAGAGAGTTAATCCTATAAATAAGCTTAAACAAAGTTGGGAAAAGAGTACCGCATGTATACACACAAGCTACCGAACGATCGCAAGCCTTAGGAATTTTCTCCGAGCGATTGAAGAGGTAATCACGTCTTGACCCTCTTTTAACGTTCATGTACTTATTTTATGTAAAATCTGTCTATAATGTAAGGTTTGGTCAATTAGAAGCCAAGTTATTAGACGAGCACGTCATGTAATGTCTAACCGAGCCATGTTCGTTTTCGTCGATATCTCTCGAGCAATTCATGTGTTTTAAGTCATGTTATGTCATGTTCTATTGTTTTAAGTGTTAAGTGCCCATGAGTAATGTTGAATGATCGATGAGTCGGTTACGATTGTGGATAGCGCACGTAGCGCACGCCACCACTGGCTTTAAGGCCTATCCAGCCATTTTATGTCAAGTCCATGATCTCTCAAGTGATTTGCTTATTTTTAGTCATTATATGTTAAGTTTGTTGATTCACGTTGACGTTGTCGGAGGAAGTCGTCGGAAGGCCGGTAAGGACCGGTCGTGGTCACGCTGCCCGCACACAGCGGCCACAGCGTACCGGCAATCAGTCAGGGTCGGACGGGTGATGTGCATAAGCCCAACCGGGTGTCGCGTACAGCCGCTGCCCGCAACAGTTGATAGTCGGTTAGTGCCCCGCGCACGCCGGCACGTCCTAGCGCACGCTAGTGCGTTTAACCGCATGCCAGTCGGCCTTGGGCAATGCCTGACAGCATGCCCGAGCGTCCAATACCGTTAGGGTCGCCCGGCAGCGCCCGTGCGGTACCAGTTCATGCCAGCCAGCGCTAGTGCACACGTCCATGTGCCTAATCACCTGCTGCGGCGGGCGGTAGCGCCCAGCAGCGCCAGTCATGCAAGGCCAGCGCCCGTAGCGCTCGACAGCACTCAGTGTCATGCCCAGTTGCACGCCAACCATGGCCTGTCCATGCCAGCGCACGCGAGCAATCATGCCCGTGCACCAGGCCACGCCCAACAAGGCCGGTAGCTTCATGCCGCGCCTAGCCCGCCAATGACCGCTCTCAGTCTAGGCAGCACCCGCGCCCGCGGCCTTAGCAGGCCCGTTGGCCGAGCCAGCGGCCGACCGCCCAGCCACAGCAGGCCGGCGGTCCGGCCAGACCGTGAGCTGACCGGTTCAGAACGGTTCAACCTATATTTTAATGTTTTAAGTCCCGGTTCATGTTTATGTTTCATTTTCAGTTAAACTCCGGGTCCGGTCCAGTCCAGTAAATTCATGTCATTCCAATTCCATATTAAATCAATTCCAATTATACCCGTTCAATTAGTCAGTTCAGTGTAATCATTTAAATTATCAGTTCAGTATTTTCAGTCTAGTTAGTTAGTCAATTCAGTTTAGTATTTCAGTTAAATTGTTAGTTCAGTTAGTTCAGTCATGTTCAGTCATGACCAGTCAGTTTAGCAGTATCAGTTCAACTCAGTAATATCCGTTAAGTTCAATAACAGTAAGTCATGTCAGTTAAGTTCAGTTTCAAATTCAGTCAGTTTATGTTGAGCCCTAATTCATGTCAATAAGTCAAGTTAAGTCATGTCAGTTCAGTCGAGCATCTTAACAGCTATTTTAATTAGTCTGAGCATAGTTCTTAGTATTTGTTGATATATGTCAGTTTTTCAGGCAATCAGCACTTACATTTTCAGATCAGCAGTTCAGGTGGGGACTCAGACTGAGTACTACATTGATTATAATTACGCTACCATGTTTGAGGTAGGTATTATCAGTATCCGCTCGGAATGGTCGCCGGTCCATTCTGGGTTCTAGTGGCCTTAATCTGCCCACTAGAGTGTAACATGGTGTCCGGCTTATGCTGGCAGATGTTTAGTTATCAGTCAGGTGATTTATATCACGAGATCAGTATCAGATTATTCAGTACCGGTATCAGTTATCAGTTTCAGTTTCAGATCAGTTCAGTTATATATGCCAGGATCATGATATTGTAATTATTTTCACTGTTTACTTTAGTATGAGTTTCTGCGGAGCACAGTGTATTAGTGCTCACGCCCCCACGTTATTCATGTTTTTCAGGTCACAGAGTCGGAGCTGAGGAGTGAGCAGGCGACCGGTTCAGGAATTTTGTTTATATTTATAAATCATGTTTTGGCCACACTATGACTCCGCTACTATTTTCAGTACACTAAACCAGATTTTGACCCAACGTTAGTCGGTTAATATATTATATAACCGTTTTATTATTAAACTCAAAAATTAACGGTTTTCAGAATAAGTCAGATTTTACGGTAGCAACCCGAATCAGATTTCGCAAAAGAAATATTTTATTTATTTTATTTAGAAAATTTGTGAAAAGCGCACTCTGAAATTCATGAAATAGCGGGGTGTTACAGATGGTATCAAAGCACGTTTTTGTGTCTCTGAAAAATTTTATGAGTCAGAAATTTTTCAAAATCCTGAACACGTCACGCTCACGCCTCGCCGACTACAGGTAAGTGTTGATTTATGTTTTAAGTTATAAACAAATTACTATGTCTATGCTCAGAAATACCTCAGTTATGACTTAGTTAAGATGCTCAAATCATTATTTTCTCGTTTGAGAGTAAAATTCTCTCGTTTGAGAGTAAAATTATCTTGTTAAGATCTTGAATTCTCCTGCTGGGAGTTCTTCCTTTCATTGTTTGATTTGGGAATTGTGAAGTGTTCGGGCTTGTGATATCGGGTCATTTTTCTAGGTTTTTTTTTGGTGCTAGGGCTATTTCCAGTAGCCTGCAATGGGGGATTCGAGTGGTGGAAAGGAAGTAGGGTGTGATTTGGGGGGGGATGTGCTTCGAAAGCTTAATGCTTGTTCGTTGTCAGAGAAAGAGGCAGGGGGAGTTGAATTGCGAGTAGATGATGTTAAAGCGGGTGTCGAAGAATGTGAAAGAAGTCTATTTGGTAAAGTTGTAGGGGATAGACCGGCGAGTATAATGGGGATCAAACGTGCTATGAGTAGCATCTGGAAACTTCAGCAGGCGATAAAGGTGAAGGAAATCAGCTCTAATTTCTTTCAATTCCTATTTTCATCAATGGAAGATAAAGCTAAGGTGGCGGCAGGAAATAATTGGCTTTTCGAGAACCAGTACCTTGTTTTAACGGAGTGGTTTCCAGGTCTCCACAGCTCTCACTCGTGTTTTGAGGAACTCAATATTTGGGTCCAGGTGCAAAATGTCCCTCTGAATTGGATGTGCACGGAGGTGGGGATGAGAATAGGCCAGATTTTTAATAGAGTGAAGAATGTCGTTGTTTGTAAAGTGGGAGGAGAAGTGGGGAGCTTCATCAAAATTCTGGCGGTTCTGAGTCTAAGAGAGCCAATTTTAAGATGCACAGTTGTTAAGATGGGAGACCAACGCATTACGGTTGTATTCAGATATGAGAGGCTGGTAAACTTGTGTCATTATTGTGGGATGATCGGGCATTTGGACAGGGGCTGTAAGCGTAGGGCTGAGGATATTGAGAAAGGGCAACTGAAGGAAGGTCAATTTGGAGAATGGCTGAAAGCAAAAGAGACTTACCATGGGGGAAGAACTTTCCAGGCCAGTAGTTCAGGGGAAAAAAGTGCCCCTCCTCAACAAAACTCAAATCAAGATTCCATTGTCTTTGCAAATGAATCCCCTATCAAAAACGCCCAATCTGCTGCTGAGGTGTGCAAGGACAATCCAGGAAAAGAGAGAAGTGAGTTTGTAGCAGCAGAGGCCCACAGTCAGATGTCAGTGGGACTTGAGATTATGCCTGCACCAGTGGAACCTACTCCAACAGCTATTATGACCTGGGGGGAGAGGATGGAATTTCCTATGGAAGTTGAACAACAAGGAGTGAGTGTTATCCCAAATATAGAGATACAAATGAAAGAAAATGTGAAGGGGCTGGTTGAGGCAAAAACAGTGTCTACTTGGAGGAGGAAACAGAAGAGTGTAGGCAGATTGGTGAGAGTGGTTTCTGATAATGGAGAAATGAAAGCTTCTTCAGGGCTGAACAATGAAGATGGAGCAGCTACATCTATGAAGAGAAGTAGAGAGGTTGTGTTATACAAAGGAGAATCTCAGGGGTCAGAGGAGAGTGCAGAAAAGAAGGTAAAAGTTGATGGTGCTGATGATAAGGTGGAGAAGGCCAGCCTCAAATGGCCCCAAGGTGATCAATGAAGGTTGAGGTGTGGAATTGTAGAGGGCTGGGTGGGCCCTCTACAATTTCCCAGATCAAGGACTCTATAAGAGGCCACCACCCTAATATTATATGTCTATCAGAAACAAAGAAGTCTTGGGCATTTACTAATACTGTCTGCAGAAAGCTGGGTTTTGGGAGTAGGTGGTTTTTGGAGAAGCCAACGGGGACCAGAGGGGGTATGCTGGTTATGTGGGATGTGGATACAGAGATCAAACACATTATAGCAAATGATTTCTGTATTCAAATGGAGGTTAAAGGGCATGGAATGAGAGAGTGGTGTTGGGTTATATTTGTCTATATGAGCACTGACAGGAGTGTTAGAATTAGTCAATGGGAGTTCTTGGTGGATAATAAAAGCAATTGGGGCAGTTGTTGGGCTTTGGCAGGGGACTGGAATGACATTATTAGCAATGATGAGAAGAGAGGAGGAGTAAGGAGGCAGGAGTCTAGTTTCAGTGGGTTTAAGAATTTCATAGGAAACATGGGAATGTTAGAGGTGGAGCAGAAAGGGGCTTTTTATACTTGGGGGAACAATAGAGTGGGAGATGGATATGTTGAAGAACGGCTTGACAAAGTCTTTGTATCTTATGACTGGCTGCTGATCTTCCCAAAGATGGAGGCTTTAAACTTCTATAGGACTGCCTCTGACCACAATGCAATAATTTTTGATACTGAGGTGGAAGAGGGTTGTAGGAGAAGAAGATTTATCTTTGACAAATCTTGGGTGAAGCAGGAGGGTATCACAGATGTGGTGATGGAAGGGTGGCAGATTGCTGTTGATGGGTCTCAGATGTATCAAGTTCACCAAAAAATTAAGAACACAAGGATGGCTCTGTTATCTTGGCATAAACCACTGCATAGAAACAATGAAAAAGTAGTCAAAATTCTCACTGAGAAAATGGAGGAGATGAGAAACAAAGGATTGGATAGGGACTAGGAAGAGTGGGCAAGTACTAAGGCTGAACTTGATCAGGCTCATAAAGAGGAAGAAAATTACTGGAGGCTGAAATCGAGGGCTTTGTGGCTAAAAGAAGGGGACCAGAACTCTCGGTTTTTTCATGCGTTCACTGCTCAAAGGAGGAAAGCTAACTCTATTTACAGGTTGGTTACAAATGGTGGTGTGGCTTGTGATTTAAAAGAGACCATTGAGGCTCACATGGTGGAATTCTACACAAGTTTGTTTACCTCAGAAGGGAGCTCTGATAATGTTGAGATGCTGCAGCACATCCCCAGAACTATCATTGATGACCAGATTCTATTCTTGTTCAACCGATTGAGGAGAAGGAGATTAAAGCGGCTCTCTTTTTGATGGAGTCTGATAAGGCACCTGGGGAGGATGGTATGACTGTCTTTTTCTTCAAACACTTTTGGAATATTATAAAAGATGATATTTGTGCTGCAGTCAAAAGTTTTTTCTTATCTGGTAATATGCTGAAGAACTGGAAGCATACTGTAATTACTTTAATTCCAAAGTGTCTTTACCCGGATTCTCTGAGCAACTTCAGACCTATTTCTCTGTGTGGTGTATTATACAAAGTAGTGGCTAAAATTATTGCTGAAAGACTGAAGCTGTGTTTAAATTCCTGCATTAGCAGTGCTCAGACTGCTTTTGTACCTGGTAGAAGTCTTTTAGACAATGTTGTTATTGCTCAGGAAGTGCTCCACTATTTGCACAGACACAGATCAAGACCTCATGCTTTTATGGCTGTTAAACTTGACATGGAGAAAGCTTATGATAGGGTAGAATGGAGCTGCATCAAGGTTATCATGAGGAAAATGGGTTTTTATGGGAAGTTTGTAAATTGGATTCTTAGTTGCTTCTCACATCCTACCTTTTCTTTTAACTTGAATGGGGAGAACTGTGGTTTTGTCAAAGCTACTAGGGGTATCAGGCAGGGGGACCCCCTGTCTCCATATCTGTTTATCATTGTTTCTGAGGTGCTGTCCTCTTATTTTCACTATTTGATGACTTCTGAACAGTTCAAAGGGATCAAAATTGCAAAGAATGCTCCTATGTTGTCACACTTGTTATTTGCAGATGATGCACTTGTGTTCTGTAAGGCTGATGATTATCATGCTAGGTTGATGCTGAATATCTTACATAATTATAAAGGGCTAACAGGTCAAAAGGTTAATCTTCACAAGTCCTCTATGTTCCTTAGTAGAAATTGCAAGCCTGATATGGTGAGCAGAATTAGTGTTATTCTCAGTGGGGTTGTGGTGAAGAGATCTTCGAGATATCTTGGTCTTCCTCTGGGTATTGGTGATTCTAAAAGGGATGCATTTCAGTTTGTTGAGGAGTCAGTGAAGGGCAGAATAGAAAGTTGGAAGAATAATTTGTTATCACCTGCTGGGAAGGAAGTGTTAATCAAATCTGTTTTGCAGGCCCTCCCAGTATTTGTGATGTCTTATTTTCTGCTCCCTATTGGCCTGTGCAAGAGCATATGCAGGTTAATGGCAAAATTCTGGTGGAGTAAGGGGAGTTCTCAGGAGAATAGTTTGCACTGGAAAGCTTGGGAGAAAATGGTTATTCCAAAAGCAAATGGTGGGCTGGGTTTCTTGGATATTCAGACTCTGAACAAAGCTCTCATCTTGAAACAACTATGGAGACTGGTAGATCAGCCTGAGCTTCTGATGTCTAGAGTACTGAAAAGCAGATATTTTCTCGAGTCTTCTATTTTTGATTGGAAGGTGTCCCAAGGCAACTCTTGGTTGTGGAAATCTTGGGCATCTCTCATTCCTGTTCTTAAAGGTCATCTGGATATATTGATAAGAAATGGGGCTGGAACAAAACTTTCTGATCATAACTGGGCCCATGGTGTAGCTGGAGGGAAACCTTCTTTTAGAGTTCAGATCAATGAACACTTATTCTTAGTGAAGGATTTGCTTTTAGCTGGAGGCTGCAGTTGGGATGAGGCCCTGGTAAAAGCTTTGTTTTCTGATGAAGATGCTGAGAAGATCTTGCTGATTAAAACACTGAATCCCAGGTTAGCTGATTTGTAGAGATGCTCATTTGTTGATAAAGGGAAATTTTCAGTAAAAAAAAACCTATAAGTTACTTTCTGCTGAGAAACTGAGTGCTTCTGAGGGGGCTGAGTGTAGTTCTCTGGCTGCAAATAATAGTAGAGCAAGACTGAGATGTTGGAATATGAATGTTCAGGGCAAGGTTAAGCACTTCATCTGGCAATGCTTCACCAATATCTTGCCAGTTAATGTAAATCTCAAGTCTAGGGGGCTGGATTTGGATATTACCTGCAGAGTTTGTGGTGAAGCAGTAGAGACTCAGGAGCATGTATTATTTCAATGTGAAAGTGCAGTTAAAGTGTGGGGTATTGCCCCAGTACAATGGAACAGAGTGACACAAGAACAGCTGAGTTTCAAGCAATGGTGATGGTGGATTTCTGCAATGAACTTTCAAGGAATATCAGAGGACAGAATCCAACTATCTACTTACATACTATGGTGGCTGTGGAAAGCGAGGTGTACTTGGGTGTTTGAAGGACAGATGCAACCTGAAATCTGGGTAATTAAGGCGGCAGTCAGGGATTGGACGGATTTTTCGAACTCTCATTCTAGTGTTTAATGGCTGGAAACTGAGGATGTGCTAGGCCTTGCAGTGGCTCATCTTTAGTTCTTTTTAGCATTTTATGGGAGTATCTGTTTGTGTTGTTGGTTTTTATTTCGAGTAGTTGATGTATCTCATGCTTGTTAGTTTATTTCGGTTAGGTTGCCTTGGGCATGGCCTCTCTTTGTATCCAGGCGGGGTTTTTCCCTTCGTACATTCCCATTTTTATGGTTTATGAGAAGCATTATATCGTTGGAAAAAAAAAAAGATGCTCAAATCATGTTCAGGGTCAGTAGTCAGTATACTCAGGATTTAATGTCAGTACTTCCCCCAGTCATGTTTAGCGACTCGTCAAGAAATTTGTGCGCTTTACTGATCAGCTTCCAAATGTTATCAGTAAAGATGTTCGAAACAGAATTCAGAACTTTAGAAAGGGGCTAAGTTGAAAAACTATAGATTCAATGTAACGCCCCGTTCGTTTATGAATAAATGGATTATTATTATTATTATCGTTATTATTATTGTTGCCATTAATATTAATTGTTATTTGCCTAATTGCCTAAATGAATTTATGTGCCAATTTGTGTAATTATTATAAATATTAATTGTGGAGATTTTATTATAATTATTAAATACTATTTTAAATATTAATTATTTTATTTTAATTTAATCGTCAACCGGACTTCGGGTCGAGCCGAGCCGCGCTCGTGGCCATGCCCAAGACCTAGCCGCCACTCCCCTCTCTTCTTCTTGTATGTTTGGTAAGTGGATCAAGTGTGGAGCCTTCCTTTTTCTTTCCTTGTATTGTTTTGGTAAGTAGCTTGATTGTGGGTCTTTCCTTTTCCCTTTGATGTGGATTTTGGCAAGTGCATCATTTTGGGATCCTACCCATATCAAGAGAGCTCTATTTATGGGAGAGATTTCTCCCTCTCCTCGTCTATTTTATTTTCCCCCAGCAGCCACTCTTTTTCTCATCTCTCCCTCTCGCACTTTCTTTCTCTCTTTTCCGATCGCCTCCATCGTCGCTCATCGACCGTGGCTATCGTGACGCCGCCTCAGTCCAGCCGTGCATCGCCCCCGTCGTCGTTCAACGCTGCCCAGGATACTGCCATCACAGCCGTGCATCGCCACCATCAGCTTGCTCGTCAGCGTGTCCCCGTTTACGCGAAGCAGTCGATCACTCGCCACCAGGCCAGCGCCGTTTGTCGTTCTGTCGCTGCCCCAGCACCACCCGATCATGTAGACGACCTCCCGCAGGCACGCAGTAGCCATCGTCCGTTACCGCTAAGCACCGTCGTTGCCTAGCCGCCCCGCAGATCGATCGCGCGAGCCACGCCAGTTGCCGAGCGCGCATCGCATCCCTCCTCGACTTCGTTCGGCCCTTGTTTCGTTTAAATTTTTCCGAGAATGGTACAAGGCTGAAAACCCCCTTATTTTTATATTTGTATATGATGTATGTGCTGAGATTAAATGAATTTGCATGTTAGGGCTTGTGAATTAATCGATTAATTTCATGTTATGATCGTTAATTGTGAAAGCATGTGTATTATGCTTAAATCGTGAATAGGGCTGTGGATTATTGGAAAATTTGAAGTCTTTTGCCTCATGTTGAAGGCCCTAGACGTTTTTGTTGAATAATTGGTCTCTTATGCATTTTTGAATCGGGCATTGCTGCTGAATCTTTGAAAAATCATTTAAAATCGTATACTCATCCGACTGCTGTGAAAATGTAACTGTATTACCTTTTGACTATGATATATGTTGTGTAAAAATTTCATGTCAAAATAAGATCTGTAGCTATGTAAAATGTGGATTTGAAATTCTAGGCAAAAACTTTGAAAAATCATTAAAAATCATATTCTTGGTATTTTGCTGTGATTTTTGGTGAGTGTTGGTAATTTGATGTTATGTGTGTTGTGTCCAATATTCGTTGAAAAATTCAAAGGATTGCCCGGTGAACTAGAAAGTTCAGATTTTCATCGTCTTTTTGTAAAAATTGGTTGTTTCTGTTAAACAGAAGAGTTGAGTCTGAAACCTTGTAAAAATATGCCTTTCTGGGTCTATTTTAATATGTTTAAATTTCAAGTAAATCGGTCTAGTAAATTTTGAAATCGATCGATCCTATTTGAAACCCTGCTTGTCTGTCGGGCCCTGTGCACTGCTGCCAGCGCACGCCAGCGCCCGCCAGCGCACGCCAGCGTCCGCA